GCCACAACTACTGAACTCACGTGCTACAACTACTGAAGCCTGCGCACCTAGAGCCCGTGCTCTGCAACAAGAGAAACCACCACAATGAGAAGGCCACGCACTGCAACGAAGAGTAGCCCCCGCTCACCGCAACTAGAGAAAGCCTGCACACAGCAACAAAGACCCAACGCAGCCAAAAATAAATAAATAAATATTTTAAAAATTATTTTTTAAAAATCAAATGGCCATTGATTTATCGAAGTAGGATTTGAACTCAGGCCTGTCTGACTGGAGAGCTTCAGTGTAGCTAAAAAGAGCTTAGCTTTGGGGCTTCGCTGGTGGTGCAGTGGTTAAGAATCCTCCTGTCAATGCAGGAGACATGGGTTGGAGCCTGGTCCGGGAGGATCCTACATGCTGTGGAGCAACGAAGCCCGTGTGCCACAACTACTGAGCCCATATGCTGTAACTACCAAAGCCCGCATGCCTAGAGCCCATGCTCTGCAACAAGAGAAGCCACCACGATACGAAGCCCGCGTGCCACAACTAGAGAAAGCCCGTGCGCAGCAACAAAGACCCAACTCAGCCATAAATAAATAAATAACTTAGCTTAAACAAGCAACTCTGCAGTTGGCCTGTCACCATCAGCAGTACTATGCTAAGTTCTGATTGGTTGATTAGCTTGCTGTCTCATTGATCCAGTCGTCAGTCAGGGATGCCTATTGCATAAGTAGGGGTTCTGCCGACCATTTTTGCCCTCAAGTCATGTTTGTATTGTATAATTTATATAGTGCCTAATACCTTTTGTTTTAAGTAAATATTTGACAATGTCCAGTTGAACCTATTCTGCAAATGAAATGCCCAGTATCTAATCTTCCCCCTTTAAAAGCTCAATGGGTATATGGCTTTGGTATGGTACTACCATGTCGTTTACATAACCAGAACTTGCGTGACAAATAGGCAACATGTTCACATGCAATGACCGGGTGTTGTGAAATCTTAAATTAGGTAGAAAGAAGTTTTTTTGCAGTCTAGCTCCAAGTCTGTGGCCTGGCAAGGGCTTTGTACATGTAAGGTCCAGGGCTCTGGGCCAGGGCTTTGTTTTTTGGCTGCGCCCTGTAGCATGTGGGATCTTAGTTCCCCAACTAGGGATTGAACCTGTGCCTCCTGCCCTGGGAGTGCAGAGTCTTAACCACTGGCCCGCCAGGGAAGTCCTGGCCAGGGCTTCTTAACTCTTTAAAATCCTCACTCTCTTCTAGTAAACATAAAAATTTCATGGGCCTCTCTATCCCCAAATTTGGAATATGGCTTCCTAGGGGGGTGTAATCTATCCTCTGATGATCTCTACCAGTCAAGAGGCTTAATTTCTATGACTTGTAAGTTGAAAAGGGTAGAGTTTTTTCTCCATATATAAAATTACTAAAAATTGAATATGCCTTTTTAAACTAATACCTCCTCCCATTCTAAACAGGCCACCTTTCGCCTTTGAGGATTGCTGCCCCAGAGCCAATTCTGTTTTTCCCTTTCATATTTCCTTCTCCGACTCATCCATCCTACAAACATCTAGCATCATATGAAACACATAGCATGTGCTGGTAAACCCTTGACTGTGATCTGGTGATTCAGAGTCTGTAAGTCATCTGACCTACTTCACTAAGTCTGAGTAAAAATATGGTCCCTTGCTTTTGTTTTTTCAATTAATTGTTTGCCCCCCTCACTTTTCTAATTAGCAGGAAGCTCAGTATCTCCTTTTTGAGGCCCCTTTATCCTAATTGTCTAGGAATCCTAGCGTGTCCTCAGTTCAAAGGAAGCCAAAAAGGTAACTGAGCCTGAGGGATCTACGAGTGCTGTTGCTTCTTGCTGCCACTTGGTGTCACTGTTGAAGACAGGTCCTTTACAGTTCAGTGGAGGCAGTACCTGCCTCGCAGAGCTGTGGTATAAATTAAATGAGCTAATACGTTCGATAGCATATAGACGGATACATGGCACTAAGTAGGCACTTAAAGATTTTTACGTTATGTTATTGGGCCTCAGTTTTATGTCTTATGTAGGGCCTAGACGAGAGGGTCCCTGCAACCATTCCAGCTCTGGCAAACGGTGAGGAATAGATGAGGGCCTGGGTCCCCTGCAGGCTGGTATAGAGCCTGGAGGCCAGGTTCGACCAGTCCGTGTCCCTCTCTGGAGCCTCTGGCTCTCTTAATCCCATTGCCCTGAGGTTGGTCTGCCCTTTGTAGGTGGAGGAGCCAACTTGGTAGCATAGAATTCCTTCTAAATCAAATGATTTGCTCTGGCTCAGAGGAGGAGGAATACTGGGATGTTTAGGCTGAAAAAATACTGTCTCTGATCACAGGGCTGGTTGATGGTAGCTGGGCCTTAACCAAAGTCTTCCTGAGTGCAGAGCTTGAATCTCAGGTCAGGAAGTATTCTGCCTCATTTTGGAAGGCAGTGTTCTAGAGAACAAGGCTGTGACTCATTTATTTTTACGTTCTCCCCATTCTAAGCACAGTGCCTTGTACATAACAAGAAATACCCCTTCTCCATGTCAACTGCTGTTAATGGTACAGACTCACAAGGATGCTGAGGAATACTCTCTGCTTTCCATCTCTTTGCTTCTCCCATTTTCCTACTTCTAGGCCACAATAATTAAGAACAAAATGTACAGTGCACATAAACCTTTTTTCACCTTTGAGTAACTACTGTTGCTTTACAACTTTAATTACCAGATTTCACACCCTCTGGAATACAGCTTTCTTAGAAAATGGCAACACCTTATATCTTTTTTTTTTTTTTTTTTTTTT